CCCCAAAACCCCAAAACCCCAAAACCCCAAAACCCCAAGAATGAAAATTTTAATTGAAGTTCATAAATATTTTACTGTTAATATGTCTTTGAGACCCAATTTATATCCAAAGGTAGATCCCTTCCATCGGTATGTGGTCTGAACTGAGCCTGGTTATTATTACCGCTCTGGAGAGGACTTTATCCCGCAAACTTCCCGCAGGCTTGATCGATCAAAATCAATTGGGAAGGAAAATGCCAATTATTTGGTTTCTTCGAAACATAAGTGAGCTGGACTCAACTCAAAACGAAGCAAGAATAGAAAGTCTAAATAAGATGAAAAGTAAATAAGAAGAAGGCCAAACCACTGATGAGGGTCAGCACAGTTGATGTTGATATTTACCCTCCAGATGTTTTACACTCGAAGGAGGACTATTACGGTAGGAGGGACCTTGAGTATCAGTATTGATACTCTAAAAAGCCTAGTTTGGACCTAAGAAAGCCTTATTCATATAATCTAGTTGCTTATAGAGCTCCTAGAACACCTGAGAAGGTAACTTTTCATGTAAATGTAACGGTTTAGGCTTTCCAAACCACACATGGAGACTCATTTGAAAGTAGCATCTTGACAAATATGCACAGCCAATCTAGGAACAACATCTTGATTCAGGATAGAGGAAGAGATATGAAGGATAAATGTATATCAAAGACTCTTTATTGCATCAAATGCTCGAATAAACTTTGTGAAATCACTTCTATAGATAATTTGTATTACAAGTAAGTTTTTTGATTGCAAAATCTTACTCAAAACAGTCTAATTCTCTGCCTAGGAATTACAAGTTGATCAAGAAGGGTGTCCTAGCAGCCATTATGACCTCATTGAAGTCTACCGACAATATTTCGGTTAAAATGAGCACTTTGAATAAATGAATTTATGACCAAAATATGAAACTTAGAGATAAGAATAGTATATTTCATCCTGTTTGCTGAATATTTTGATCCTTCGAGATTGGCAAGTTTTACCTCACAACAAACAAAAAGTTGAAATAAGTACGCCAACAAGGTCTGAATCATCAAATCTGCAGTGAAAATCCCGGTTAGTAAAAGATGCCCAAAAGATAGAAAAGAGAAATCTGCAGATGTTCCAGACAATACCTTTGCTTCTAAGGGACACAAACGGGTCTTCTCATTCTCAGGTGAAGGTACAGTCAGCATCTGATGATATAGAGGAAAGAGAGAGAACTTGTCATACTCTTGGCAACGAGAACAACCATTCTGAGAGGATTAAGAGATATCAGCCCAAGATTGAGTCCTTCAGAAATTATTCAGTTGAAGATTTTAACTATTTAAAGAACTCCAGGAATAGCATCAATCATAATTTTGATGTCTCCCAAACAAGTAATAGTGCCAGAAGATACCAATTAAGAACTTCTAGGAAGGATTCTATGGCGAATTATGGAGAGTCTAGAGAAAATGCCTCCCAACATAGCTTGAATACTTTGAAAAATAGTGGAGGAATGAGTGAGGCTTCACTAAAGAAAATGTACTTCAGGTTCCCTCCGAATTCCCATGCTGATCCTTCTACATTCACATCAAGCTTGGAGAATCCTTTGAGAGGAGCTAAGAGCTACCAAAATATCCGCTTGCCTAATGGTCCTAAGAAGATTTTCAAGAAAGCTCTTAGAAGAGATAACCTCAGAAGGAGAGTTTTCCCTTCCTGTGAAAGGGAGACTTTTGACAAAGACAGACAGGAGGTAAGTCTCAACCTGATCCATAGACCACTAAGCTATCGATGGACGATTCAGATATCTTCGGCACTTCTCAGCCATCAGAGACTAGTGATGATATATAAGTGGATTAATTTTCAGCTTCTTTATAAACCTTTGGGGTTTTGGGGTTTTGGGGTTTTGGGGTTTTGGGG